ATATATATATATATAATATATTATGTACAGCCCAGGATTCATTTTAGCTCTTAAAAGATTATATAGCTGGGTCAGAGATAATCCAGGAATGTATATATAAAGCACTGAACGTGATTACATTTGTGTTCAGTCTCAGTGATCTGTGGATTTCTTTTTTGTTTTTTTGATTGCTGTCTCAGAGGAAGAAATTTATTGGAGTGACTGTAGCCTTTCTTCAGCTGCCTTGATAGCAATAATAATCTCTGAGATAAGGCTTAAGCAGGATTAATTCCAAAGTCAATTTGTCGCTATTACTCCCTGGCCATTAGGCATGTTGGTGGTGCAAACAGCCAGCGCAGGGACCAGGCCACAGCTCTGCCTGGAAAAATGGCAAGGGAGTATGTCAGCTGCTGAAAACATCTGTTTTCTGGCTTTTTAGACATTTCCCTTTCTACATCTGCAGTTAAGTGTAGGGTTGGAAGAAGTTGCCCCCTGTTCTGCCAAAGAAACTTTTAGGGAGTGACTGGTAAGACAGAGGAAGAAGAAGGTACCCCAGTAGTGCATGGAGACACACACAAAGTTAGGAGAAGCTCCTCTATTGCTTGGTGTGGTGGGTTGACCCTGGCTGGATTTCAGGTGCCCACCCAAGCTGCTGTATCACTCCTCAGGTGGATAGGGGAGAGAAAATACAATGAAAGGCTTGTGGGTTGAGATAAGGACAGGGAGAGATCACTTACCCTTTAACATCATGGGAAAAATGGACTTGACTTAGGGAAATTAATCTGCTTTATTGCCAAATAAATCAGAGAAGGGTACTGCATAAATAAAATAAAATCTAAAAATGCCTTTCCCCTACCCATCTTTTCTTCCTGAGCTTAACTTCACTCCTAATTTTCTTTACCTTCTCCTTCCCACCAGCACAGAGGGACAGGGAATGTGGGCTGTAGTCAGTTCATCACACATTTGCACTCCTTCCTCTTCACACTTTTTCCCTGCTCTAGTGTGGGGTCTCTCCCACAGGAGACAGTCCTCCATTGCCTTCTCCAGTGTGGGTCCTTCCACAGGCAGTAGCTCTTTATGAAGTGCTCCAGCATGGCTTCCCCGCAGGGTCACAAGTCCTGCTGGAAAACCTGCTCCAGCACGGGCTCCTCCCTCCACAGGATCACAGGTCCTGCCAGGACCCTGCTCCCATGTGGGCTTCCCCCAAAGTGACAACCTCCTTTGGGCGTCCCTTTGTGTGGTGTGGGGTCCACCATGGGCTGCAGGTGGATCTCTACTCCAGCAGGTGTTGTAGGGCTTGCCCCACCAAACAGATGGTACATGTCTGTCCCATAGCTCACCAGGAGCCAGAAGGACGGTCACTTGGAAAGTGAGTTTAAAATCTTGCTCTGGAATTCCTTTGGTTTGTCTTCTGTTGGGCTGAATTGCTTCTATTTTGGGCCAGGATGTCTCTTCACATTTTAAACTTTCCTGGACTTGTAGTCTATCAAGTCTGTCTTCTTATTAAAATGTGACTGAATTAGGCAATAATTGATCTTTGAAAAGCATTAAATTCAACCTGGAACTTAAACCATAGTCAAGAGTTCATGCATCTGTTCTTTCTCTGTGATATGGAAGAATATCTGCCCTCATGAAGTGTTCAGAAGCACCAGGAATCTTCCCAGGCATCTGCAGGGACACTGAAGTGGGAGCATCCAGCAGCAAACACAAATACAAATCCTACAAAACCTTGGTGTAAAGATGTATTGGCTATTAAGTGACATTTTTACTAGTGTCCTAGCTTGCTTTCAGTTGGCATTTGTTTATGTTTTGATGCCAGTATTTCATCCCATGTCTTGTAAGGGAGGACTACAGATTTAACATTTCAGAAACTGCCTACTGCCAAAGTGGAGTTATTTCACATTCATCCATCAACTCACAGCAGCAAAGTTTGTGAGGATATGATCCCCTTTTATCTGCCTGCTGAATCTGTTTTGGAGGGAATAGAGCTGGTCAAGCAAGTGCCCTAGAAATGTGCTTGGGAGGCTGAGTAAAAGGAGATCCACCCCCTATGTGGGTCAGAAAGAGACAAAAAGCACCTTGGGTTCGTGGGGACTATGCTGGTCCTGGGCTGGTAAACAAGCTCCAGTGTTCGTGCAGCAGCTTATAATGTTCACACTAGGATTGCATCTTGGGTGTTTTCTGGGGCTCAAGGCCTTTGCCACATGGAGTTGATGTTTCAGGGTGGCCCTTGGGATTCATATTTGGACAGGGACCATTCCTCTCTTCAAGACTGTTAATCTTCAACAGGCAGAAGCAGTGACACCACATGAATTTATGGCAAAACCCCAGGTGTCTCCTTTGTGTTTTCCACATGAAGATAAAGAGGAAGAGGTAGAAATGTATCCACCATGCTTTCTGTCAGCAGGGAATAGGTGTGCAGAGAATGATGTGAAGTTTGAGTTATGGAAAGCATTTGCTGTTGTTCCCAACTTCTAGGGGTCCCTCCTGGTAATAGTCCCATGCACTCATGCTTTGGCATAGGAAAATATAAGTGCTGCCCAGAGAAACTGTCTGTGGGCCCCTTTGCATCTTCCAAACCAAGAAAATCCCTGTCCTGAAAAACTCAATTTTAATATCTTCATTTTGAGCTAACAGCATGGGGACTGATGGGAAAAAATGTGAAGTGCTCTGTGATGAAATGTCCTGGGAGACTGCTAAAACTTGATACTTGTCTGTTCAGACAGACATCTCTTGGGAAAAGAGCTCTCTGGTTGTTTCTAAGCCTAAAAATCAGGATGGGGCTAACCAACAATTCACCAGGTTATGAACTTTGTGAAGGATTCAAGTAATATTTTGTGGGGGTGGAAGGTCTCTGAAGGATCCAGAGAAAGTTTAACCAGGACTGGTGGGGTGGTTGCATTTTCATAGCAGAGGACAGCAGCAGGCTGAGCCAGGAAGAGGAAACATTTCAGAGGATGGAGGAAATATGTGTACTGGAGCCAGGAACACAGAATAGGAGTTTTGAGATAGCTGGGTGTGTTTAGGCAAAGTAATGTCTATTGGTACTTAGCTGGTTTGTCTAGTTATTAATTTTGAGTGCTGGCTAAAGAGTAGTTGGTTTGAGGGCTCTTTCTAGAGCCCCTAAAAGCTGGGGGCTACCTACAGGCTGGGGGCTTGGGAAGAGCAGCATGGTGATTACTGTCAGATGTAGGCAGTGAGTGCACAGCTCGTGGGATGTGGTGCCATTTCCAAAGCAGGAAATGCTCCATAAAGGAAAACATCAGAGTGGAGGATGTTGGAAGGGCTGGATCCCAGGCCAAGCAGGGAGGAGGGGACCAGCTGGGAAGGTGCAGCACGTTGGTGCTGTCAGGGGTCAGAGCAGAGCCAGCAGCACTCTCAGGTGTCTTCCTGCCAAATTTGCTGACTCTGCCCAGCTGCTGCACAAATGTGTTTATGCACCAGGAGTGTGGAGGAAAACGGGGGGTGTCTGATGCTTCCAAAGTGGACAACCAAACCAAAAGTTCTGTTGACCAAGGAATATTATCAAAGATGGCAATAACAGTATGTAACAAATCCTGCATTCTGGTTTCTGAATTAGAGTGGTGTTGCCATTCATTTCTGTCCTCCATCATCAGCAGTGGGACAATGTCTCACTACGACAACCCTTGTTTAGGGTCCCATGAACAGGGAAATAAAGTGAGCTCTGTGCCATGGCAACACCAGCCAGGAGTCCATGTGAAAATGGAGATCCTTGCATGTGGAAAAGGTAGGTTTCAGTTTGGAAGCAGCAAGGAAGACCTTGCAGATTCTTTTCATTCAGAAGTATGCAAAACACTGGCAGCAATTGCGGGTGCTGACCGAAGTGGTCAGATTTTACATGATCAGGGGAATAAAATCCTGAGATTTATCTCTTGCCCTTGGAATGGCAAATCTTCAAGATGTTGTATGGTGAACATGGTCTTGTAGGTCTGTACATCTTAGGTATAGTGTGCAGCTGGGGACAAGGTAAGCCCCTGTGACACCTCAGCAGAAGGAGAGGAAGCACTCGCTAGGCACAGTGAGCCATGGTGATCTTTATTCTCATGTCAGAGAGGGTATCACTGTCCTTGCTGTACTGCCTTCAGGACACTGTGGAGAAATTAATGTTGTGATCATATGTGGGCTCCCTTTAGGGGCTTCCCACACCCTTCACCTCCTGCTCCCTTATCCTTCCTAAGTAGGAGGCTTTTAACTGCCTTCCCAGTCACACTTTTTTCTATTTGCAGCTCCCAGTTTTAAAGGAATTAAAATTCAGTGTGTGCTCTTGGTGTCTGTACGTCCTGCAGGGTGAAAGGTCTCTGTGTTACAGGAGGATCTGCTGAGCTGAGTTACTCAGTGTGGTTCAACAGCTCCTGTCACGATCTCCAGTATGGATGCCTGGTAAAAATGAGAGGGATTGTGCTTGGACACAGAACTCTGATAGTGCTGACACTTGATTCAGTGAACTGTTTGTTTTATGTTGTTCAACTGCCTGTGGCTATGAATTAAGTGTGGTGTGTCAAAGACTTTGAAACAAGTTGTGTGTGTGTGTGTGTGTGTGTGTGTGACCAAAAGAGGGGAAGAAATTCCCTTGATCTCTGGACTTTGAAGCAGATGTCTTAAGGTGAGATCTGCAGGTAGCTCAGTTGCATGCTCAGCTCTCCTTGACTTCTGTACAGCAGAAGATGCAGACAGTGGAAGAATACCTTCTTGTATCAGTGGACATCAGCCAGATATCCCATCACCTGGGAAAGCTTGCTGGACTCTTTGGATTATTTATTAGCATGATACTTAACAAAACTTGTGATTACATGCCTCACTGAAAATAGGAAGTTATTCAAATCCAATCCATGCAGCTGGCTAGGAATATATCAAAATGAAATGATCATTTTCACGTTCATCATGCCAGACCCCAAGATGTTATGATGTGGTTTGGTTTAAGAGTGGAACAAACATGCCAAAGCCTTTATTTTCTTTCTGAATGCTATTATATTCTTTTCCAGTACCTGCACAGAATAATTAGCAATTAAAGTTAAATTTCTTTTCTGTTTCTTTGGAGATTTTGTTTATTATTCTCAGTCCATTTCAGTCACGCTGGTATCATGAGGAAAACACAGAGAAGTGATGCCCTGTGTTCTTGAGCACAGCAGTAACTCTGTTTTGCAATGTGTCTTGGCAGTGCTCATACATCCCTCCCTGTGCAAGAGATGATCAGGAGAACTCTGAGAACGTCACGTACAAGCAGAAGTACTGGAAAGAGAAAGTGGGTTCTCAACCATTTACGTGCTATTTTAACCAGCACTTGAGGTGAGTAATGTCCATTTGGCTAGGCAGGCATGCTCATGCATCTGCTTAACAGCTGTCCATTGGTTCTGCTTGAAAATACATATAAATGCATGCATATGTATATACACACAGAGACCCCCTCCAGGGCAATGTGGTTTATCACGCAGAGCTCAGTGCAGAACTTTGCAAGACAACTCTATTGATGAAAAACTATACAGAAAGGAAAGGAGTATTTTTACCACTTGAAGTAAAAATATAAAACTCAGAGAAAAGTTTTCCTTAAAGTGTGCAATTTTTATAGCAAAAAGCATCTTGGCTTTTACCACTCAGCAGATTTCTGGTGTGGATATTAGCATTCCTTTCCTCCACAGAAAATAAACTCTACTCTATTCACAGGAGAAAAGAAGAGAACAAATAGGGCAAACTAACTCAGTAATTTTGTTCATAGAAGATTTGTGGATCAGATGTGTGTAATAAACAGCAACAGAACTGCCAGGTTTCCTACATGCTTGCAGAGTAGAAAGTTGTAACCTAAAGCATCTCCCCTTCTGTTTCAGTTCTTACTTTTACTGCCAGTGTTGATGTGGCTGCCATGCACATGAGAGTGATGTGTGGTTTCCTTCCTTCAGTAAACAGAAAGGGGAGGGAGTCCTTTTTCCTGTCTCTGATGGTGATATGCCAGGAAATAAAAGGCAATGTGGCTGCAGGAGGAGGTTAGTCCTAGCCCACAAACACTTGAAAGTTAAATAGACGAGGGAATAGCTCATGACTTGCAGGTGCAATTCAGGGCTCAGTGTGGGAGCATTGGCACCAGATACTTAAGTTCAGAAAGACAATCAGGAGGAGAATGGATGGCAGGTGGAGAAATGCCTGACTCTCCTGTGGGTGTCCTGCTGAGTGCCTTGGGGCCTCCAGGTTTGTCCTAGGCTGCCTATAATAGTTTTCTCCCTGAAGAGACTGTAGACCCAGCCAGCATGCCCAGGATGAGTTTGTTGTCCCTGGTTAACTCTTTGCAGAGGGACACCACCAAAGCTTTGTAGCAATTTTTTTTCCTTTAGAGGGTGAAGAAAAATTGCTTACAGCATGCAGGGATTAAAACTTAGGGCACTCTGAGTGATGACATCAGACCTGTCTGGGACTTTCTTGGGAGTCCTCTGGTCCACAAGGTGCCAAAGCTTGGATCTGGTAACCAGGAACCAAGTTATGATTCTGGTTTTTGTGGGCAGGCAGGTGTTGCCTGTTCCTTGTACTCCTGAAAACTGGGACTTGCAGGATCCACTGCCCAAGTGAGCAGGAGAGTCAGAAACATGGGTTTGTCTGCAGGAGAAGTCATGGCTAGGATACATCTAAAACTGATGTGGAAAGGATGATGTGAATGTTAACTTTTTTAGTCAGTGGAGAGAAACGGGCCTTTTATCCTACCCCAGAGTAAATGCCTGATACAGGTCAGATGCCCAGAGGTGTTTATTTCTCTCCTGTAGAGGAGTGTAGCTGTCCAGAGCTATGGGAGCTGATTCTCAATTACATTTTGGTAGAGCAAAGACAAACCTTTTCTGCAAAGGCTGCATGCTGCCTAGCATCTGACATTTATGTAAGCTGGCACTGAGAAATTGTGCAGCATTCAGGAAGGGTTTTTTCCCCTAAAGATGCTGAATCCTATACTGCTAAAAGTTCTTGCCAGCACAATGGCTGCCTTGAAACACTGCCTTTTGCTGATCATACAACAATTCATACACAGGATAAGAGAGGCTCGCTGCCAGAGATACTAGAAGATAGCCTAAGCTGAAATGTGTACACCATCTATTTTCTTCTGGAGATAGCAAAGAGCTTTGGGAGATAAGTTCTGCTGACTGGGAATGTGCTTGCTTGGGTATACTTTTAGAGCAATGATGACTAAGCAGCCTGCAAAGCAGTAAAAAGAAATCATAACAAACTGAGGGAGAAGCCTGTTCCCTTCAAAATATAAGTGTGTATGTTTTCTGACAGTATTTTTTTCACTGTGTGAATAAACTAACTGTTGTCTGTCAGTCTGTATAAAATAATATATATAACAATAATATAACAAATAATTTTTTAGAGAATTTAGTATTTGTAATATTAATATTACCTCTTTTGAAACAGCATCTAGGTAAATATACAGGCAATTAATGAATATAATCTCCTCTTCATCGAATTTACTCAATCTTCATTGTCAGAACTATTGCTGCATGCAGAGTATACTGTTAGGAACATCTTCCTTTCAGTTTGGTGGGTTCAATAGGTTATTTTGAAAAGATTAAAAAAGGGATGCCATTCTTACAGTTCAAAGTTATACAAAAGGGATGAGAAGCAGACTTGGCAATTTCAACCATTCTCAGTTACCATAAATCAAACTTCCCAGCAAAATGAGCTGCCTGACATTTCTCTTAGGGAACCAAGTACAGCTTATCTTAGAGCTCAGACCTTACTGAAGAGCAAGGTGTTGCATTGCCACCGTAGGCTCTTCACTTTAGTGTCGCACTCTTCTGTGACAAGCTTTGGGACAAAGGGTTCAAGCTACATAGGGAAGTTGCATTTCTGGATCTCTGGTGAAGATGCCTGTCTGTTGGCATGATGATATCCCAGTCTGAAGGAAGACCAGCACAGCAGAAACCAACCTTCAGTGTTTCAGACTCTAAAATAAAGGATGAAGTTCTCAGGCTGTTGCCAAAGGTTTTGAGAAGGCACTGAGCTCTAGGGCTTTGCTGTTCTGGATCTCACACCCAGTGTCCCAGCAGTCTGCAGTCATGACCTCATGCAAACAAGGGCCACAGCTGCATGCCCTAAAGTGGGAGGCCTGAGGGAACAGGCAGGCATGGGGAAGATCCTGACAATTTACTTCTTCATGTTCCAGGTGACATTGACATCTATGACAAGAACAAAAAAAAGAGAGAAACTAAGATTGCCATGAGGTGAGACCTCACTGTTTCATGCCACGCAGAGACAGGCACCTTGTGTCAAGTCATTTCTTTTTAGTGGCTGATTTATATGGCATTGTTGCTTGTTGACTCTGGGTTTGTTCCATACACAGGAACACTCTGTGTTTCCTTTGCTGTGGCACAGCAGATGAGCCAGCCATGCTTTAACCTCCTCTATGTTTGCTGCAGGATGCTGTACACAAATTTATCAGAGATTTGAAGAGCAAACCCTGTCAAGTGATCAGTGACAACCTGTATGTTGTTGGGATGCCCTGCAGGGTTCCCACTTATGTCAGAATAATTATGTGTGTAAGCCAAGGGTGCTCAGGTAGTAAGGCTGCTCATCCATAAAATCTTGGAACATAAATTTTGGTTTGCTCTATTACTTCACAGTTTTCTAAATTAATTCCCTCCACCTCTGGAGCAGTGCTTGGGCCTGAGGGGGAAAGGACTTGACTGCCAGTGAGACACTGTGCTGCCTCTGCATGCAGCCATCCAGCTGAAGATCTCTGCATCTTGCAATAAGGGAAGAAAAGACTGCTTGTCAGAGCGAAGGGATGTGAATATCTGTGGGAACAAATTAGTGTATTGCAAACATCTTTAAATACAGATTGTTTGAATACAAAAGCATTTGTAAGGTTTCCTATCCTGTGCCTCCACTTCTGTCAGCTATTGTTGTGCGGCGCTAGGTTCACAGTTTGGTTCATAAGTGACGACAGAAATGTTTATGTCCTGTAATCTTTTGGTCCTACATGACATTTTGGTAATCCCTGCACTGAAATTCTCCCCATGGTGTTCAGTAATTGCTCTGAAGGCTCTGATGGAGGCCTGTTTTGTCTGGTGTCTGAACTACCTGGCAGAACCTAACAGGGATGTGTTGTATAATGCAATTAATCCAGTTAGCCCTGCTCAAAGCACCACAAATGTCCAGCCTTGAGCTCAAAGTCCTGCTAAAAATAAGTCCTGGTCTCACCTTTTAGCAATGAAAACAAAATTCCTTCCTTCTTGTCTGTTCAATGAAAGAGAAAGCTGTGTTTTCAGGGTTAAGGCAAAGGCTTCTTCAGGGATTTTTTTTTCAGTTTGTTGTTTCACTGTGGCTGCTGCTGGGCAGTGGTAGTGCTGCACAGTGGCCATCACTATTCGCAGCAAGAACCAGCTATGAATGCCTGAGCATGGTTTGCAATCACTGCAGGGTTTCCCCCTTTTGTCCCACTGGGTCTCTTTCTTTCCTCTGTCGCTGTTATGTGCATGGATAACTGGTGTTAAGATTTTGGGTGCATCCCCTCAAGAGGCTTTACATATACTGGCAACCTGACTGGCAGCATTGGTAGAAAGAAGAGACTGCCAATAATCAAGCTGAGTGTGAAGATGCCCAACCCCTCTGCCAACATATTTGAACTGAAGTACTATATAAAGTCACAGAGCAAAGATGCATTATTAAAGACACTGTACTTACAGGAGCAAAGCAACAAATTCATTTGTATCGGCTGATTTTCATAGGGAAAAGAAACATGTTTCTAGGCATTTCTAGGTACTTCTAGGATGTACTTCCTTTGAGTTCAACATCACTGCCTCAGCACCAGGGAGTGACACTCTTAGGCTTTCCAGGAAAGACAGGTCTTTACCATGAGAAGTCTTCCCTTGGGGACAGAACACCTTTGCATTTCTGTTTCCAAGTAAAACAACAAGCCTTCAGACTGTGGGAGCAGGCAGGTCACCTTTAAAAAAATAGCATGAAAAGTCAAAACTGCTAGATTTGCCAAGCAAACCTAAAGCAGTTACATCACTGTGTTTCAAGTGCCACAGAATCACAGAATACTCTGAACTGGAAGGCGCTCACCAGTATCATCGAATCCAGCTAAGGACCCTGCCCAGCACCGCTCCCAGGAGTCACACTGGGTGCCTGAGAGCACTGTACAAATGTTTCTTGAGCTCAGACAGGCTTGGTGCTGTGACCACTGCTCTGGAGAGCCTGTTCCAGTGCCCAACAACCCTGTGGATGAAGAACATTTTCCTAATATCCAACCTGAACCTCCCCTGACAAAGCTTCATGTCATTCCCTTGGGTTCTGTCACTGGGCACCACAGAGAAGAGATCAGTGTCTGCCCCTGCTCTTCCCCTTGTGAGGATGTGACTGCAATGAGGTCTCCCCTTAATCTTCTCCACACTGAACAAGGCAACCTCAGCCACTACATATATGACTTCCCTCAAGTCTCTTCACCATCCTCATGTCCCTCTTTTGGATTCTCTCCAACAACTTAACATCTTTCTTATATTGTGGCACCCAAAACTGCACACAGGAATCATGGTGAGGCCACTCCAGTGCACAGGGACTTTTACTGTACTTAAAAGTAGCAGTAATACCCATCTAAACCCAAACCTCATCTCAAAGCTTACTTAAAGGCTTTGTCTTTGACTCTTTGCCAAAAGGGAAACTCTTTCAAATTTCAAAAGTCACAGTCACATCTATAATGAGTGTTTGACATCCATTGCTGCTACCTTTGGTATCTATGGTTTTCAAAACATTTAAGATTCAGTCTAAAGGTTATCTTACTTCCCCCAATCACACTTTCTTTCCTCTAATTGAATCCAATTTTCTAGGTTTTTGCTTGTCCCTTCTTTTTGAACTAACATCTGCTTAAAAAAAAATACTTTAAATGTCACTAATAAGTTCAGAGCTGTGAAGATCGAGTGTTGCCTACTTATAGCCTCCTTGTCAAGTAGCACTCTAATTCACAGGTGATGATACAATAACTGTGAGGGAGCAGGCTTATACCTTTTGTGAAAGGATATCTCTCTTCAGGTGCACAGGCTGGTGAGTTTGCACCCATGAAGTTAATACTGCTTTATTCAATTTATAGCGTTCACCTTGCCTGCTTATGTATCTGGAGATTTTTGGTTGCACAGAATTCATACATTTCACTACTGAATACACCTGGGATTCTTTTGATATCTTTCTGTGCTCCTGAATTTCAAATTTTATATAGCTGAGCTGCTCACAATTAGAGTTTTATTCTGCTCCTTACTGCAGAAACAAAGACAGGTGTATGAAGTTGGCCTTGGGGACTTTCAGGCTGGCACAGTGCACAGTATTCACTGCACAGCAATTTTGGGTGAGAGACCCCCAAATGCAAATGCAGGTGTAATTAAATCTAGCATCAGGTGTAGCTGGCAGTCTGGCTCCAGTAACTCCTTAAGGATGGATAAAAACTCTGCAGACATGCAAGCCATTCAATTTCTCAATGTAGCAAAAAGAGTTCCTTCTTTTTCCCTGACAGAATTCTCTCTTAGGGCTCCTTTCTGATCAGGACAAAGCTATCATGGGAGAGACAGCACAGTCATTGAACAGGTCTCTGCTCCCTTGGGCCACCATGTTAGGAAACCTTGATTCCCAGGACATTGCTGGATGAGTCTGCTTCTCCAGGATTTTAGGTTGTGAGGTTTGTTGCTCCAAGAAGTGTCAGGGGGCATTGGCAAAGCGACATGCGATGGGAGTGTTTGATGTAAGTGAGGACCAACAGGAGTCAAGACTATAGATATTTTTCTAATTGGAGAAAGTTCTCTTTTTCTCCTTTGCAGATAGTTTTCCAGCAGACTGCGTGTCTCTGGCTGTAGATGGGAAAGCAAGAGTGAAGTGCAAATGCCATGAGGCTGATTTAATAACTATTAAACTGCAAGGGAGGGCAGGAAGAGCCAGAGCTGAGGAAAACCTGCCATCACATTTCCCCAACAACATCCCAGACTTGGATGAGGCAGATAGACAGCAGATCTTTCAAACATGTGGCACAGCTAAATTTCCAAATGTCTCAAGATACTTCCACCTCAATTCTCCTCCTCTCTCCATTTCCCTTTGGAAATGCATAAACCTGTCACAGACCCCACCATGACTGTGTATTAGATGCTGCTGGTGGAGGCCAGGAGGTTCAGGCTTCAAACCTTGCCAAATTGTCCCTGTAGGAGTCTGCTCAAGTCTACTGAGGCACTGCTGTCCAGCAGCCCCAAATCACAGTGTACTGCTGAAACAGACTCTGCTGGGAAGGAGCTGACCTGGGAGCCTTAGCCACGCCAGGGCAGGCTGCAGTCCTCCTGGGGACAGATTTCTTGCAGGCTGCTGCCTGCCACTGCAGCTGGGCTGGTCTGGGCACCAGCAGTCCAGAGCTGAGGACAGGGACCAGCTCCCTGCCCAGACCCAATCCACAGCCAGGGCTGGCTTCATCAGGAGCCTCCATGTAGCCCCATGGACACATCAGTGCCCAAAGCTAAAAGTGAAGCTTTAATTACTGTTTAAATCTATTTCACAGGACCTGATAAGATTTGAGGTAGATATGTATAAATGATGCTTGGTATTATGTTTTTGCCAGAGTGGTTTTGCAATCCACAGTCAGTATGATACTGTATCTTTCATGGCTGTTTGTGATGACCACATTCCCTGGAAGATCTAGAGCACCAACACTGTTTTTCTTTCTTTATTTTTTTTTTAATTTTTTAATCCAGGACTTTTTAGCCTGTAAACACTGCAAGTGGAAAGTTCTCATCATCTGCCATGAGTGCTGGTGATAAGAAGGCAAATAGAAGCATTGAATAAAATAGTCCATTTAATCATCTTCTAGCACTTTGGCAAATAAATCACCTTTACTCTTACCATGTTAGATGATTTCCACTTATGAATTGATGATATTATGTTGATTTATATTTTTTCCATATTCTGTTCCTCCTTTCACAGGCCAGATGATGTGATGCTGAAGCGCACCCATGATGAGACTGTTCTCTTGCACTGCTTCCTCTGGCCCGTGGTGACTTTCCTGGTTGGAGTCCTCATCGTGGTCCTGACCATCTGTGCCAAGAGCTTGGCTATCAGGGCAGAGGCAATAAAAAAGAAGAAGCATTTGTGAGTGGCAAGGCTGCTTGTGGAAAAGAAAAACCTGCAAGAAGATCTCAGGCAGGTCAACCTGACACACCTGCAGGTCTGTGGGGCACCCAGCTGCATCTCCTTCCAGGGTCTTATCTGTGGTGGAGTAGCTCTTGTCTCAGGACTGTTCTTGGGGTGACTGCCCCATGAAATGCCTGCTAATTGCTTCTTCTGCTATGGCACTAAATAAGTATATTCTACCAAAAAAAAAAAAAAAAATCTACACTGCACCAAATATGCTGTGTTCTGTTAGTACTGAAGAGCAGCTACGCAGAAATTGAGACAGTTTATGAAACTCCCTGATGATGTTACTTTCATCTCCACAAAGTGATATTTCCTAATATTTAATACTAAATATTTAAAATATTTACTTTAGCTAGAACATATTTCCAAAATAATAAAATTTTATTGTTTTGGGGGTTTTAACTTTTGGAGGTTTTCTCTATTTTTTTTTCTTTTTTTTATTTTATTTTCTTTTTTTTTTTTTTTTTTTTTTTTTAATTTTTATTTTTTTTTTTTTTTTTTTTTTTTAAGATTTAAGGCAAATCTAACATTGTGCTGGCTAGGTTTTTTCTCACTGTGTAGAACTTAATTTTAAAGTTCAAACTTTACCTTCTGTCTAGACAAAATCTTTCATCGCCACCCATTCACTGTGATGAAATGTAGAAATCTCTCAGAAATACTTCTTAAAAATTAAACAGTTATTGGAAAAGATTATTAAATACTGAATTTACTTTATTGCCTCAGTGGTATTCCATCCCTACAGTTTTTCTTGTCCCCTCTCAGATACCCTCTTCATGAATGCTCCAGGCTGTAAGGAGCAGGGATTTTACAGTAGTGGTTTTAGAGGAGTATGTTTTACCAGCATCTTGCCCAAGTAATGGAGTGGCTGAGTGCTTGCTGAGGAGAGCCTGTGTGCCATTGGTGTGACTCACGCTGCCAGAGAAGGAATCAACTCCTTGTAGGGCTGTGGGTGTTTGCTGCTGAACTGCCCATCCCAGTCACACCAGCTCCATAAAGGCCACCTCCGAGGGGATGCTCCAGAAACCACAAGCAGTGTGACCATGCAATCTTTCTGGGTCTGCTTTCTCTGCTTGCCCCACCTCCTTGCTGTGTGTGATGGGAGTACCAGCTCTAGCCCCCTTGCTCAATATGGAGAACTCCATATTTCTGGCAGCCTCCCAGAGCACATTTTTGTGTGCCATAGTCAGGGGCTGGGGCCAGAGCAGTTTCATGGCACTTGTCATTGCCCCCGCAGGGCTGGCCCCCCCAGGACCAGCTGTGCAGCTTGGCAGCGCTGGAGTGCAGCAAAATGGAAAAGCCATGTGGCTAGGTCAGGAAAGTGAGTGATTACTGGCAAAGCACTTTAATCTACATTAACGATTCCGCAATTCTAAACATACCGTGTGTTGTACTAATCTCTGATATTCTTAGTGTTATGTGTAAATACCTTGGGGTTCATTGTGATTTTAACACATAGGAGAAATATTTCCTGAGGGTGAGAAAAGTGCTAGATTTGAAAGCCTGAAAGCTTAGTTGGCACAAGGCATGATGACAAACCTGTTTCTATTGCCCAGGGTCCTTTTCAGATTAATTGTATTGTGAGTTTTAGAATTGATTTCCATAAGACCTCTTGTAGACACTGTGGTGCCCAGTGATGAGGCTGATGCAGGGCAAGGGCAGCAGAGTTACTGGAGGTCATTTGCTGCTTTCTCTTCTCACTTGCTATGTGACTTTTGAAGTGTCCTCTGGTCCCAGTCCACATTGGGGTAGCTGTTCCTTCAAAGCAAGTTAAGGAGATATGTTTGTAAGGGTAGGAACTTGATGCTTCTTGGCACATTACTCTGTATGAAAGATCGAGTTGGCATGCGTTCAAGGACCTCCAGTCCTGTAGATGAAAAATATCTCTTGTAAGAAAAATTTCCATTGCCTTGTGTTAAGCATCACCATTTTGAAGGTGCCTGCTGTCCAGCTCGCACTGGTACCTCTGTCTCAGCCTACAGAAAAGAATAGTGCTGGATATCCTGGGTGCAGAGAGGCTGAGAGCTCTCAGCCTCTCAGAAGAAAGCCTGCAAGCTTCTGAAAGAGCTGTCCTGCAAAGGACACTGAGTTTTGTTTCACTTGTGTCTCACTGCTGTGGCCTTGTTTGCATCCACTGTGATTCTCTTGCCTCAACAACCCACAGAAACACTGCACTGTGTGTCTGATTTGGGGGTTTGGTTGCTATTTTTTAATATATATTACTTACTCTCACTCTGCAAATCACGTAAAGCTGAAGTCGTAGGGTGGTTTGGTTATCTGGGTAAGGTAATGCCAAATTCTCTTCATTTATTTCTCTTTGCTAGCTTCTTACAGTTAAGAGGAATAAGCCTGATTTCCTACATACATTTGTCCTTCGTTTTCCCAAGGGAGAAGGAAATACACAGTGACACAGATTCATCATGAAATTTTAAACCAGTAGCTTGGGGCTCACAAATCCAGATTAACAAAATCCTCTCTTTCTTTGCTTCTGAAGCTTTTGTGAGTGAATCCTACAGCTGGTTCTCTGAGCAAAAGGCAAAAAGAAAATTGAATGAATGCAGCTCACTTGATTGGCAATCATATATTTGAATCTGTTGGAAATGCCTTTTGCAAAGGCCTCTGGAAGAAAGTAATGGCTACAGAGATGATATTTTGCTGAGAGATTAACACCCCAAGTTAAATATCAAAATTGGTACCCAAAGACCAGCAGTAGGTCTATGCCTGGCATAGCAGTATCTGATTCTAAGGGGAAAACTCAAAATCCTAACATTTAGTCTTCTGTCTCATCCCATCCCTCACTGATTTAGAAATGTCTTTGTAATCCCTGTACTTGATTGTGGAAGCTGGGGATTTCCCTCTAGCAGATTATTCACTGATTTCCTCTTTGGCTTTGCAGATTTCCAGGTTTTGTAGGGTTCTCTGAAACATACTTGCAGCCAGAGTGGCTGCTTTTCCCAAAGCCATCTGCAGAGTTGGCTTTTGTATTTTATTCAATATTTATATGCCATTGCTTTGAGGAATTTTGTTCTGTCATGCTGTCTACTGCTCCACTTCAGTAAAACCTGCCTGCTCTTTCACGTAGTGCAATTAAATTAATTTGTTTATACAGTATCTCTCTCTGTTAGTTTCTTACCCTCATTTTAAAAGTTGTAGTAATAGAAGCATTTTTTGTCGCCTTTTTTCCTGCTTATGTGTTTCTGTGTTGTCAGGAACAGATAAGATTTCACAAAGTTAGAAAATGTAGGTGTTGAATGAACAGCTTAATTCAAACTCGGAGCAGATGAGGGATGTCATGGGAGAATCCAGGGGCATTTTAGATCTTTATCCATAATCTCTGCTATAAATGTAGCCCTTTGACAGGGGTCCAGCACAGACTGCTGAATTTGAAGGACTGTTTTCAACTCAGTAGGCGCTGCAGGATGCAGGTTGGGAAGTGCAGCGGGGAGGTAGCCCAGGTCTCAGTTTCCAGACTTCCACTTCCAAGTGTGTTTTGAGGGATTTGAACAGAACAAAGACATCTGCGAGGTGTGAGAGTGCAGAGCTCTCCATGCATCTGCTGTGCCCACCCAGCCCCGGTGCTGCCATCTGGGTTTCCCTGTCTGCAGTTTGCTTCTGGGAACGCTCCTCACTGGGTCAGCTGTGGTGCCATGCCCACAGGAGCAGGTATGTCTACAGAGGGCTGCCACACAGCTCAGCTCATTCCTCACACAGCACAAAAGCATCCATCAAACGTGTGTTATCCCGTCAGAGTCCAGCTGGGAAATGTGGAAGGGGAAACACTGGTCAATGTTTAAAACCTTTTAATAGATAAAGTGGTAGAGCTTCAGTATTCTTGAAGAAGTGTCTAATTGAAAAATGAAAACTATTTAAAATTGGCAGTGGGTATGATCTGACAGATCAACAGTGTGGATTGCCTGTGAGCAGAGGGGAAGTGCTGTGCAAGAATCTTTGCTCAGCACTGCAAATACGGGAGCTGCCTGTCAAATCAGGGCTTCTGCAAACTTTAGTCTAAATGGCCAAAGTATCAAGAGCAAGCACATGGAAGAGGAGACACCTAAACCAGTGTTTAATCAGAAAAGAAAAACACTCCTGCCATGGCTTATATTTCAATAATCAGATGAGAGACAGCACAGCTGAATTTCTAATTATGACACCTATTATATCATGCAAATACGGTCTTTCAATCCCTGATAGAAATCCCATAGCCAGGGTTATCAAAAAATCAGCTTATTCCCATGTGTGGCTTTCCCTGAGAATCAAAGCCTGTTTGGTTTGGGGTTTTTTTGCCCCTCAGCGTGGAACAGCTGCTGTTCCTCCATTAACTTTCAATCAGAAACCAACCGCTTCCCTTTCTGGCATCTTAAGAGGCTGCTGTGCTGATCTGTCAAGCTAACAATCTTTGCTGCAGAAAGCATGAGCAGGAAAACCTCTGAGGGAATATGTGTGCAATTAATCATACTGCCTTGTCAGGTCACAGACCCACTGAATGAATCAGCCCCAAAGTTTGGTATTTGAGAGGCTGCACAATTGCCCTTCTGGTTTGATAGGTGAGCCCAAATGCTTAATTCACAGCTCTTTGGTGGTCTAATGGTTTGAAGTCTGGTAAGCCAAAAAATCACTCTGTCTGCATTGGATACATGACTAGAGATGCTATAAAAAGAAAAGAGAATAGCTTATTACACTGTATAGCTGCAATTTGCATGTAAAATTAAATTATAAAATGTGTTAGCATGGCTGTAAAATTGCATACACACCTACAGTACACAGTCTCCAAACAGCACATACAGCAATCAATCAAAAATAACTCTTCCAGAAATTCAATAATACTTCTGACACTGCAAAGCAAATCCTGTAATTTAATTTAATGAGCTAATGGAGCGCAAACCTTACTTTTAATAATATAACTTGTTCCTAATGTTTCAGCTAGCATAAGTTCTATCCTTGTTTTTATTTGCATGCCAATTGCCATCTACTAAAAGCAGTTGGAAAAAAATCAACCCATAAGCTCCTTCACATAACTGCTTGCTCAGCAACTGAGGGTTTCTGGACAAAACACTTCAAATATTTGGACCCCATACAGCAGAATCAGTTCCTTTCCCCTCTTACAGCAGGCTGGTTTGTTTTGTGGTACCCACAGGAGAGGGAGCAGGGCAGCCACCCTCTCTCCACTGCTGAGTCCATCCAACAGCATCTCTAGGATGT